GTAGTTCTTTGGCTTCACATCCTAATAATTTTTTTACTTCCGTGTTGGCCTGCCTCTAATGGTTTTGACGTCGCTGAAATGTTTTGTATTTTCTATACAGTCTCCATTCTTAAGTCTCCGCTTTAGCGTAGCGGGTGCTATATACTCACCTACTTTTAGGGTCATTATATTATTTTTCTAGTAATGTCTATGCCTTTGACACTGGAAAAAAAACCTAGAAATAAAAGTAAAATTGAAGGTGAGGATTAGAAAAAAACAATTGACGATTGCTAGTGAGCAAAGTGATCCTGAGAACCGTTCACTTAGAAGGTTAAACATAGTAACTTTAACTCTTCGCGTTTACTGATTTATCCCCCTTTGCTTGAGAAGCCAAGCTATTAGGGCTGCCAGCTTTTGATCATCTGACTAGCTTTTTTCACTTTAAAATCAAAAAGTGGGATGAAAGAAGGAGCCATGAATGGATATAGATATCGGTCAAAAATAAAATGCAGTCCTATAGATAAGATTGTGTTAGTTTGAAAAAAATTCCACACTGCAGATGAAGAGGCAGATGGAGAAGGAATAACTAAAAGATATATTTTGTTGCAGAGTGAAGGTTGTTGGGGAACGAAGAACGACAGGAGTTGCTGTTGCCGAGGAGAGCTTTGCAATTCATCTCCTTCAGTTGCAGTTTCGTTGCTAATGATCTCATCTGTACTCTGCATCGTTCTTGCACTTTGACATCAGTAACTGAATACGCCCTGTATACCTCTTACTTATGTACAAGCATGTTTCATATGCTTATTGTCTTGAAATCCCTAAATGGCGCGTATTTTACATGGCAAGTTATATTTCTAACAGGGAATGTTGAAAAGTGCTCTTATTTATGAAATAGGGCCCTATGATCGTTGTTTTTTTTGCAATATTCATGTGTATAACAATAAATACATACATTTATTTAATTTAAGGCACAATGCAAGGCATATAAGAGATTGACGCAACTAGCGAGGTATCCTGGGCCAGAAGGATACGTTGACTAATAAAGCACGTGCTCTCTCATAAAGCTAATCACAGACAAATGCATGTACATTTTCAATGTCATCAAAGACGAAGCAGTTCACTTTGGGGAAAAAAAAAACAGTGAAATCGTAGATGATCGTTTTTAGCGAATGGATTACGCCCTTACGCTGATTGCGCAAGAAACGTAATTGACTTCATAGCACAAAATTTGGTCAAATAACATAGTAAATTCAAATCGATAAAAATGTACTTGAAGGAGAGCAACACGGTAGCTACTCTACTACATCGCTCGGGGCATCTATCGAATAGATTTTTAGTATTTACGACTCGATCGACGTTGCGGTAGCGCAATAGATGAGCCTGGAAAGAAATAAGTGTATCTCATCTTAAAAAATCATGAAACTATACATTAGTACAGAAATCATGGCTTAATTATTTTAATTCATAAATCGAATCTGATCAGAAAAAAAAATAAACAATACCTATGAAGGATAGAGTAATAGTTCATTCTGCAAAGATTGTTTAATGGAAAAAGTTCAGCTTCAATGTTAA